AAGCGCTGAGTTGTTCTCCCTATGTAGTTGGCTCCACAACTACAAACGTATTTGTAAACAATTGAATTAATATGGTGGGGAGGGAGAACGTCTTTACACGCAGATTGAAACATAGGCCGAGTTTGAAAAATAATCCGAACTTCAGCAGAGAAAAAGCAACAGCGAACCTTTGATGAAATTTGCTTGGCTATTTTGTCACATTTGGTACCAATCCAGGGTAATCTAAGGTAAACAGGGCATTTTTTGACAGTGTAGAGATCGGCACTTCTGAACTCTTCAACTTTACTGCGGATAACTGAATTAACAGTATCAAGAGGATAACCCAAATTACATAGGGTATCCCTAATAAAGTTAATTTCGTCATTCAGGAAAGGCTCAGAGCAAATCTTTAATGCTCTGTGGAGGAGGGTTTTGATAATGTTGATCTTGCGCTTAGTGGGACAAAGTGGGACAAAAAGAGTCCCCTGCAAAAGTAGGTTTTCTATAAACAGAAGTAAGAAAACCTGTTAACGTACGATGTACTAATACATGCAAAAAAGCCAATTGATGATTAGACTCTTTTTCGATAGTGAACCTCAGTGCCGGATGGATACCATTTAAAAACGAAAGAAACTGGTCAGCCTCAACTTCACCGTTAAATAAACAAAAGGTGTCATCAACATACCGACAGTACAGTTGAGGACAAAGTGGATTCTTTCATATCTTTTCTTCCTGGAAGCCAACAAATATGTTAGCAAGTGCCGGACCCAAAGGCAAGCCCATAGCGACTCCGTCGATCTGTCGGTACATAGTATTGTTGAAACTGAATTCGACGGATGACGTGGCAAATCTCATCAATTCCCGAAAAATTGACTCAGGAAAATAAGGTGGAGTTAATGAACTGCGATAGAGATAGTCGCAGCAAATATTGATGGTTTCCATCAAAGGGACACAAGTATATAAGGAAGAAACATCGAAAGAGCACATGAACTTACCAGAAGAAGATAAATTTCGCACAATGTCAACAAAAAAAAAGGAATCCTTGATACAAAACCATCCAGGCACACTGCAACACAGGATCCAAAAGTGTGGAGAGCCATTGGGCTACCTTGTGTTGGGCTGACCCGATCATGGACAAAAGCGGTTATATAAAGGTACACCTTCCTTATGGATTTTGGGAGACCATATAATCGGGTCGAATCGAACCGGAAGGATATGATTTCGTTGGCAATTCCTTTGAAATATATATATATATATATATATATATATATATTTTGTATATGTCCAAATTATTGATCCTGAGTCATTTCTACCAAACACTCATGTTTTAGCAAATAAAGAGTGTATTGATACAACAGGAGTAGGATTTGCAAGATACATCCAGGATGTGATGTCAGAATTGGAAATCTCATAAACTAAAGTGATGAACATGGGATTAGATGGGGCTGCAGTAATGACAGGGAGAAACAAGGGCTGCACTGGTATTCTGCTTAGGTTCTATCGCCACATAATTAATGTACAGTGCTGCTCACTCCTTGGCCCTGTAGTAGCAAGAGTCAACAGGAGATCTCAAAGAGCGTCAGAAGATACTGAATGATCTGTTTTTTTTCTTTGGAGCTAATCCCAAAAGAACAGCTAAAATAAAATATACAAAAATTGCTGAAAGACCCAGTGCTCACTTAAAAAGAGCTGCACTCCATTTGATGGTTATTGTATGACAATGGTCCTTAGACTGTACACAGGACAATGAATAGCCTACATTATTAAAGTGTCCCAGGATATCAGCAAAGACCCAAAGGTATATGGTCTAAAAAAATCATTACAACAAAGAAGTTCATCAGCATCACTGCTCTGATGATGGATGTCATGGCCCCGATTACAATCTTATCCCAGTTCCTGCAAACAGAAAATGTGGATGTGGCTTTAATAAAAGTGAAGCTAGATTTTGGTATCAAGGATCTGGAAAAGATCAAGGAAATGACATCTCCAAATCTGACAGTATTAGCATTCAGGGTAACATGTACAATTTATCAACAACTTGATAAGTAACATACACTGCAAGTTACCAAACACTTCTCTTGTGCATATTTGGTGTGTTGAGTCTCTGTCCCATCTGCTTCATGAGTGAAGAGTTGAAGATCTATGGAGAGAAGGACTTGGAAATTTTAATTTCTCACTATGGACATGAACAAACACACAAATGGATCGAGGATGGAGAGGATCATCATATGATTACCTAGCCCTTCATCAATGATGTTCAGTCTCAACTGGGGACCTGCTGAAAAAATTTGTCAAAGTACAATACTATCCCACAGACAGTATGTGGAAGCTTTAGGCATTGGTGACAAAAGATTACCTAAAAAGATTTCCCCAACCTCACCATCCTTGTTCAAATGGCCACCACCTTGGCTGTGCATACAGCTGGCTGTGAATGAGGGTTTTCTGTTCAGAACTTCATTCTCAGAACATCAAGTGTAGATTCTTAATATCAACCTGGGATCTAAAAGGTCAGGGTTCCCTTTTGAAAAGGCACTGGTCAAATGGAAAGGATTCAAGCAGAGAAAGCTGTACACTATGAAGTACAAGTAATTATTGACAAATAATGAATTTAGTTACCAGCATCATTTGATCTTTCTGAATATACTTTCCACTGTTTTAGTTAAGTTTCATTGTTGTGCTAAATGTTTCCTAGTGATTGACTAGATTAATTTTCTCATCAGTTATAAGACATGACATTTGATTTAGTTGAGAATTAGACTAAAAGATCTAGCTGACAATTTGTGGATTCTGTCAAAGTGATAAAAATCTGTGAAAATCAATACTGTTATTAATTTATTTTGATGCTGCTGAGGCTCTACAGTTAACATTTTGTCTTTATTTAGATTTATGCAATATTTTGTTTACATGCAGTTGACTCACCTCTATTTTATTTGATAACTTATTTTGATGCTATTTAAATTCTTACAGAAAAAATATTTTCTTTGAATTTTGTATCATACAAATGTGAAAGTTAGGATCATCAGTAATAAATTAGTTCATATGGCTAAGCTGATTCAAGGGATCTTAAATTTTTAAAGGAAATTTTGCCTCATCCGATTTGCTCTTTATAGGAAACCAAAGTCGACACATCCATTTTATTAATTTTAAAGAAAAAGTAAATTTTGTCCTATCAATTTAAAAAAAAAATGTTATTGTCATAATTCTCAAAAAAATATTGTTTTTTAATTGCATTATTATTTAATTTACAAAAAACTTTGTGATAATTCTCAAAAATTATAGTTTTGCTAATTGAACTGTGGTTATGTAAGTGTAAATACTGTTTTTGTTTTAAATTGATTGAATAAATTGAAAAAAACTTTTGTTCTATCAATATAAAAACTTTGTTCTATCATAATTCTCAAAAAATATAGTTTCTTAATTGAACTGTTTTTGCATTGACTTTTTGTATTTAATTAAAAAAAATTGTTCTGTCACTTTAAAAAAACAACTCTTAATTCATAATTCTCCAAAAATAAAGTTTCTTAATTGGACTGTGACCAAGTGTAAATACTGTTTTTGTTTTTAATTTATGAATTTAATTTAAAAAAAAAATTGTTTTGTCAATTTAAGTGATTCGGCATGATTAAAATTGTTTTTTAGATGATGGTTAAAAAGAAAAAGAAAAAAAAACTTAGTCTGTGGTCCTGCAGTTTAACACAATTTATTAAAAAACTTCAGTTTTGGGACCCATTGAATTTCTCAGGGACCCACCCAAATCACCACCTCTAGTTCCCAAGGAAACATTAAAAACATCTGCAAGACTGCATACCATGTATATATGTTTCAAGAGTATTTTCTCTTTTGTAGTTAATATAGGAAACCTTGTTATCTATTCAGTATATAATAGTAATAAGTGCAAAATGAAATATTTGTTTATTTTCTGATTAATAGACTGTAAAATCTCTTCTGAAAAATGTAAACTCCATCCCCACCTTTTTGAATAAAAATAATATTCAGTAACTTTTGAATCTGTATTTCAAATTTAAAATGATTCATATCAATATTGGCTATAATAAAAATATATGTTATGTTCCATGCTAATAGGAATATATACTTGAAAAACAAGGTGAATAAAATAAGTAAAGGTTTATTGTAAAAAACCAGTACAATAAGAATAACGGTAACAGTTATACACAAGGTCATTGCAAGTCAATCCAGTAGTGAGTGCTACTATTGGAAGGTCAGCAGTTCTTGCATAAGTCTGAGCCGTACTCAACAGAACCCAGCTAGTATATTTAGCTATCCCACCATGAGGGCTACATGTGGTACAAGGCCGTTTTAACGTGGGTTTTCTGAGCACGTAGGCTCGGCCAAAAATATTCCCTTTTTGATAAACTGGTTCAGGGTTAGTCTACCTCCCCGAATGAGACTCTACCCTTCAGCAGAGCCTTGTCCTGGTTCCTCTCTGCCTTCGGGCAGAGAGTTTGACCATCTAGTTGGAACAGGTCGCAGCTAGTATATTTAGCTACCCCCACCACCACCACCACCACGAGGGTTGCATGTGGCACAAGGCCGGTTTAATGTGGGTTCTCCGAGTCCATATGCTTGGCCAAAAATATTCCCTTTTGAACCTGTATAAACGGATTCAGGGGCAGTCTACCTCCCCAAACGAGACTCTGCCGAAGGGCAGAGTCTCATTCGGGTTTGACTGTGTAGCTGGAACAGGTCGCAGCTAGTCTCTGTAGTCTGTTGACTGACAGATACTCATAGGAAGTTACTACCTATAGTGTCGTCATTCATGGGGGTGACAGGTTATTCTATTACATCAATATATAAAGTCGATTCTTACTCAGATTTTTATTCAAAGGTGATTTATTTTTAAAATACAAATTAATATTAATAATTCTGACAGTTGTTTGATTCAGTTTCACTGATTTTTTTGGAGTTTCTTTGTTTTGTTTATTATTTAAATTAGTTTCTACAAATAATCTTTTCAATCAATTTCCTTTGTGTGTATTTTTATTTTATTTCATTTTTTGCAGGTAAAAAATGACAAAGATTCATCTGGTCTCATGCTAACTCTCTTCCAGTATCAAACTTGTCCATTTTGTTGTAAAGTTCGAGCGCTACTTGATTATAGAGGATATTCATATAACATTATAGAAGTTAACTCCATATGGAGGAAAGAAATAAAATGGTCCAAGTATAAAAAGGTACCAATTTTAGTGTGTGAAGGAACTATTGAAGATGACTATTTGGTGAGTTAACATTGTCTATTTTGAGGGATATTTTTTCTTTTTTAAATTTACTATAAAATTATTAAAAATTGCAAATTGGTATTTGCAAATTGTTTTTATAAAGTGTTTCTGTATTATTTGTTTGTTTTATTCTTATTTAAGAAAAAAGTGGAAACTAATATTTGAAAAATGTTATCATTTGATAAAAAACATGAAGTATTTAACTAAGGATTTAATTTAGATTACTACAAAAACAAGTGCCTACTTTCATTAACCTGGACAACTTTCCCTTGTTATTTTATATGAAACAGAAAAAAAATAGAGGAAATGATTTTATTCAAAATTAAGATTTTTGTTTTTTAAAACTGTTTCGAAAAGACCTTTTCATAATAAATAAGCCATATTAGTTTCTATCAACTAAGTGAATTTCTAATTTGCTACCAAAATAATAATATTAAACTATATAGATAAATTTATTCTTTTTATATCTGCACTTGAAGATGGATGGAGAAATATAGTAATAAAAACATAAAAAAGATAGATCATAGCTTTATGTAACTGATAGAAATAAATTATCAAAAATATTTTAAATAAAGTTATTACTAAAACAGAGTATGATTTGTTGAACTCAATTTGTTTTTTTTTTTTTTTTTTCACTATTTGAAAATTTTCTTTCTTTTGTAGCAAATTAATGACTCCTCAGTGATTATCAGTGTCATGGAATCCCATATTTTAGACCGAAGTCAGAAAATAGAGAAACTATTATCATATTTTCCTGTTATTGAATCAAAAAATGAGAAGGGAAAAACTGTTTATGATTACCCCAACAAATATTTTATTATGTTTGGAGAAGCACCTGCTTATGGAACACCTGACTATATGAAGTAAGTATTTCTTTATATATGAAGAGATATCAATGAAACAATAACATAAAGGAGAATAACATCTGTTAATTGATTAAATTATTAAATTAATTCTTAATAATATTAAACTATATAGATAAATTTATTCTTTTTATATCTACACTTTAAGATGGATGGAGAAATATAGTAATAAAACATAAAAAAGATTGATCATAACTTTATGTAACTGATAGAAATAAATTATCAAAAATATTTTAAATAAAGTTATTAATAAAACAGAGTATGACTTGTTCAACTCAATTTGTTTTTTTTTGTTTTTTTTTTTTTTTTTTTTTCATTATTTGAAAATTCTCTTTCTTTTCTGAGTTTCTGTGGAGTGATATATATATAACCCCTTCTATGGTTTCTGCTATTGCCTCCAATCTGGATCCCCACAAAGCATGTGGGCTTGATGGTATCCCTGTAATAGTCCTTAAGAAATGTGCTCCCAAACTACATCCTGTTCTCTCTAAACTGTATAATAAATGTCACACTGTCTCTTGATTTCCTATATGCTGGAAATCCTCATTTGTTGTCTCAGTTTTTATGAACTTAGGTGAATTGTCCAAACCTTCCAACTATTGGCCTTCTACCTCTTTTTTAGAAGTTACTAGGGGCCCTAATCAATGCTGAATTGGTTAAGCATCTCACATGGCAGGGTCTTCTTTCAGACAGAAATATGGCTTTCATTTCTCTAGGTCAACTGCAGATGTCCTGATGATAATTATGGAAAGAGTCTATCATGCTGTAGATAAGAATGGTGAGGTAAGGCTGTTACTTTAGATATCTTGAAAGTTTTCAATAGAGTTTGACATGCAGGTCTTTACAAATTGAAAAGTTATGCTGTCTCCAACCAAATTTTTGAACTGAAAGTTATCCTTAAGAGCCACTCTTGTAGGCCCTTTTGTGCTAATCCAGGTGCCCCCTAGGGTTCTATCCTTGGTCCTACTTTGTTTTTATATTTCATTAACAACCTTCCAAAAGATATTGGGATCTATGCTGATGATGCAATCATTTAATCCTGTCTCTATACTGATCAGTTCAATAATGTCAAATTGGTAGCTGATGTTAAAAACGACCTTCAGTCTGTTGATAACTAGAGCAAAGGATGGCTTGTTAACTTTAACACCTCCAAATCTAAATTGCTATCTATTAATCATCTGAGAGACTTCTTTCTGCCTCCAGGAGAGTGACAAAATTGTCTCTTAAAAGTGCATGGTTTAGCCACAGGGTTAGGATTAATGTTTTGTACACTTTGTTTACAATATCTAAAAATATTGGATTAAATTTATTGAATTTAATTATGATATAAACTTGATATAACAATGTTTGTATTGATTTTTCATTAATTTTGTAGTATAAAATATATTTGCTCCAACTTTGTTTTTTAATAGTAAACTATACTAAAATTCAACATACCTTTTAGAAAGAAAAACACAAAATATGCATAAAAATATTAACTTTCATCATCAATATATTTGTAGTTATGAATCACAATATAGTGAAAAATATTAAATTACATTTATGTAAAAAATAATAGCATATTTAAATAAGTCTTCTGTTAAAAATTAAATAAAATGTTACAAAAATTTACTTTTTTTAGGAAAAAAGACTAGATAAAATAGGATTAATAAATTATTTCTTTAAAAATTCAAGTAAAATTAAAATGTTGCATTTAGTATAAGAAGTGTGCTAAAACTTTAACATACTTTTTTCATTTGTAAGAAACCAAAAGAAATACAGATTATGTAAAATTAAATAGTTAATCATTGGTTGATTTGCTTTTATGAATAAAAAATTCATAGAGAAAAATATTAAGTGAAAAATGTTATATCAACTTCCAAGTAACAAGACTAAGTTTTCTAAATTACATTTTTTAGTGAATTTTGCAGAAAAAAAGTTTGTTTTTGCAATAAAAACACTATATATATATATTTAGCAAGTCTGAAGGAAATAAAATAAATAAATCTTATACTTACTGCAATTAAATAAGTTAAAGTTATTCAAATTTAAAAAGCAAGAATTTAAGCCAACTCCAGCAGTGAAGTACCACAAACTGAAACCAAAACTCAAAATCTTTGTTCCCAGTGGTTTGTGTGATTTGAGATAGGTGTGACACGCATCAGTGGTCGCGGTCACAGTCCAGGGCCAATATGTGACATCAACTGGTTGCAACATCAATATATGACACTGTGCCATCGACCCATGGTCAACTCCCAGTTGCGGCGCGAAGCTGTAAGGTTTCTTCCACCAGCGTTTGGGGTTGACTCATTGTTGCTGCCACCAGCCTGTGTCCCGGTCAATCTGGTTGTTCCCGGTTCGATACCAACTTGTCATTCCCAGCTCACTTCCAATGTCTGGTTACCGAAGTAACTACTTTGATCTCAAGTCTAACCTACCAACGTTGTGATGTTGATCTTAGGTAGACAAAATCAATCGGGCATCAAGCCGTAGTGCAAGCTGAATCCAGGGTAAAGGTGATACCACACAAGCGTAAGTAAAAGAAATAATAAAACAAACTCACGAGGTTCAAATATGTTGAGAAATAACAATTATCTTTATCTGTTGAATACAGGAGTGTTTCTCTCCTGGCCCGTTTCTATGGATTTGTGACACTTTTTGCGCTTCTTAAGTGAGTTATGGTATCTTAAGTCGTTTGTCAATAAAAACTTGCTTTTGTTAGGAAGACTAAGTCGAAAAGGATGTGGAAATCTTTCGGTCAGCTTCTGCGAGGCAATACTCTCGAACTAACTCCAAACTCAAACTGTCTGGAACTGCGAACTCCCTGAAACTCTGCCAAAAACTCTGCCAGCTTCTTCGAGACATTCATTTATATGGACACCGAACCAAACTTGGTGTGTGGGAGGGGTGATGTGGTTTGGGTTCTTTGACAATTCTCAATTCCCAACAAGAATTCTCTTTGTTCTTAGGCCAGGAAAATTAATTACTTCCCATTTTTGGAAGATTAATCACTTTCCATTTCAGGGGGTTCTCCCTCGTCCATGAGGGAAGGTCAGAGGAGAGTTATCCTCCTAGACTCTTCCTGTCTCACATTGGTATCTCATACCAATCACTTCAGTGGGTGTTAACAATTTCTCCGTCTTTCTCATACATTCACCTCCACCTATCACCCATGTTACCAGTTGGCCAATGATCTCTTGGCAGTGTGGGTGTGGCTAGACTGGCCCTCTTAGAATTATCATCAAAATTTTGTTTACAAAATCCCTTTTTTCTTTTTTTCCTTTTCCTTCAGCCAAAACATTTACAAATCCCAGATTGCCAGATAATTCTTATAACATCTTGATTTTGGGAACACTCAGTTTCACTTAGTCAACTTTTAACTGGGCGGTTGTGTATACCTGATAATTAAATTCTTTTATTTTTCTCATGCATTAAAATTCTCTTATCACCAGATGCTCATTTTCAAGACACTATGTCTGATGTCAACAGTTTAAATAAGCCAAATTTTTTCCATGGCTGCATGCGTCGACCGGCTTTGTTTTTCTATCTGAATTCTGTTTACATTGGCATGTCCCTCCCTTATCGTGACATTAATTCATTTTTGACAGAATCACAGTCTCGCTTTTTCTTACGGATTTTCTGTCTTTTGCAAAAAGTATCTTTCTTTTGTAAATAAAATAAATTTCTTTTTTTTTTTTTTTTTAATGTTGATCAGTCTATCTTTCAATATAGCTCTTTCTTGCCTTAAGTATTTCCTGTTTTTAATTTCTATGGTTAATTAGTTAGCCAATTATCATAGCTAAATAGTGTCACATGGGCCTCCAGTTTTGGAAAAGGACACCATGCGCCATCTAAAACTTGCCATGGGTTCAACTTTACTACCTATAATTCCTTTACCTCTACCTACTTGATGTCACAATCTGTGAGGGCAGTTTGTGTGTGTCAGTAGCTACCGAACTTTTGCCTCATCTGCCTGGTGAATTGAGAGAACAACATTCATTGATGAATAAAAGCTGAAAAATCGGTCTTTGTGTATTCTTTTGCCCATTCCAGTCAAATTATGAATGTCTTTTTAAAAATGTCTTTTAGTGATCAGTCTCTATTTTTTCACTTGATTAGGATCCAACATCTGTTTTTTTATGATTCCTTGCTTGCTACAATGCCTAAAGTTTCATAGCTTGACTAAAATGGATGTTTTATAACTTTTCTCTTGATGTGGGATACAGATTGGTCAGATAAAACCTATACTTGTCTTTATCAGCCCTGTATTGTAATCATCTGGCATATTCAAAGAAAACTTCAACTGTCAGTAATACTTGCCAATAATTTTTGTAATTGTTTTATCTTTTTCAAACTCTAAAGTTATTAAACATTTTTCTTTATCCATCAAATCCGTCTTCAAACACATTTTAAAGCTTCAGACTTGCAACTTGGCTATTAATTTGAAACTGAAATTCAGTACTACTGTTTATTTACATGTAAACATACAAACCAGCTTTTATCTTAACTGTGCAGATGTTACCATCATTCAGCAAGTAAAACTATAGATTCTAATAAGTATTTATTTTATATATCAGTAAAACTTGATCTCAATGTGAGATGTGTTTATGGGTGTGTATTAGTGTCATCAATTATCCTCCAGTCTGCAATATAATGCAGGAAATCGAGAGACAGTGTGGCATTTATTATACAGTTTAGAGAGAATAGGAGCCAGATTAGAATTTTAAGCTAGTTCTTGAAAGCCTAAATAGAAATTTGGGTCCCAATAAATAATTATAAATTTGAATGAGATATTTATTGAATCATATCTCATATGAAAATCATAATCATCATGACACATTTAATTTAGATATCTCGGAGGATTTTGCAAATAACTTCAAATAATTACCACATTGTTTAAAACTCTAGTGGCTTTTTTTGTCTGTTCTTTAACTAGAATTATTTTTACACTATTTACATTGTTCGGACTATCATCCTCATCTTTGTTGCCATATTTATCACAATGTTTCGGCCGTTGTATGCTCTGGCCTTCTTCAGGTGGTTGGAATGTCAAACTGAACCCTTTATTTCGCTCGCTGGGGTAAACTGTTCTAGTTCCACATGCCATGTCTAATGGATGTCAGTTATCAGTTATATCCTGTTAATTGCCTTCTCCAAATTCTCCACCACCTTAACCAGGTATCGAACTTACACTCTTTGGGTCCTGTCACTGGATCTAAATAACACCTTTATCCACTGTGCCATGTATCCTTGAGGACACATGGAACAGTCTACCCCAGCACACTATTTGAATAAAGAGTTGTTTATCAAACTATGCCTAAATTAATTTATATCATTGAAACAGTCAACTATATTGGAATATGATGTAATGAATATGCATACTCCTGGGTTCCCCTCTCAGTAATATGATTGGCTGGTGTCCGCCATAAATACAGACTGATGTGGAGGTAGAACAATGGCTATTGGATGCCTATTGGCTACGACTATTGCCTACGCCTATTGCCTACCACTACGACGAGGACCAGTCCATCATGGTTACCTGCTAGATTGTTCTACTAGGTTACAGTAGTCCAAAACCACTTTGCTACTTCGAACAAATATATCCCTTTCCGGGACATATCAGAATAATTGGCTATTTCAAGGGTAACAGTGAGTAGAAATCATTAGAAAATGTGATGGGGCATTGTTAAGGAAGGGATTCAAAAGCAATTCTGATGTTTGATCCCTTGGTCAGATTTTGGGAAGTGGATCAATTAGAAAACTTTTCAGGCCATTTTGTTGAATGTTTGCTTTTGTAAAACTTTAAATATGATATAAGGAAATTTTCTATTGAAAAATATCTGGTAGCATCATTTAAGTCAAATTATAATTTTCAGGAAAGAAAGGAAATGGCGAGCCTGGGTTGATGACATTCTGGTACATACACTGTCCCCAAATATTTACCGAACACCTTCTGAAGCTCTACAGGCTTTTAATTATTTCTCACAAGTTGGTGAGTGGGAAAAAAACTTCACCATCTTTGATCGTCTGGTGGTTATTTATATTGGAGCTGCTGCAATGTACTTTGTTGGGAAGATTTTGAAAAAAAGGTAATCTTGAAATATTACAAATATCTAAAAAGAAACAATCTGAATTATTGTCTCAAAAGGACGGGTTTTCCCTTGACCCCACTATTACTGTAAACTTCCTTTATTCCCACAACAATGTTTATTGGTTTAATTTTAATAAAACCCAAATACATGAAAATGAATGTATATATTTTCTTTGTCCTTGAGAATTTACAAGAAAAATATTAAACATTATTTATTTATTAGATTGTTTATTTACAATAATAATTTTAATTTTACATATAAAAATATGTGAACCAACTAATTACAGTGCAATGTTTATCATTTGTCAATTTATAAAGAAATAAATATGGAAACAATTTTTTATTCATAAATTAAAAATAAACTTACTAAATAAAAATATGTGAACCAGTTATATAATGAATTCTTTATTGTTTATCATTTTTTTCAAAATTCGAATCTATTGACAATTAGCTGATATTTTAACAACAATTCTAAAGAACACACTTCACCAACTGCAAGATTTCCTCATCAGTCAGCACTTGGCTGACAAATAATCTATTGGTAAATTTTCTAAGAATTTTTAGAAAAAGTCGCAACAATTTAAAAAAAAAAAAAATTCTCAAAAAAGTGTAGGAGGGGAGATAACCTATAATTGTTGACGTTTCAAATCTTGGGTTTCTATTAAGTCCTAGAGCATGATTATAAAAAAATAAGAAAAAAGAAAAAATAATCAGAGACATAAAATAATTTGAGAAGAAAATTTATAATGTCCAAAAAATCATATGTTTATTTAAATGTAGATATTTTTATAAAATTATGCATGAAAAAAAAAAAACTTGTTTTCATATTTATAAATATTGCATTGTAGTTGGTTCAAATATCTTGATAATTTTGTAGATTTTTATAAATTTTTGAAAAGATTTCTTTTCAAAATTTATTTCTTTATAAAATTATAAAAAATAAATATTTATAAAATGGCAAAAAATAAATATCGCATTATACTTGGTTCATATATTTTTATAATCTTGTAAATAAGTATTACTGAGTCTTAGTCATAAACCGTAATATCAGTGTCAACAGAAAAAGCCATCCTTTTGAAACACCATACTTTTACAGGCACAAATATTAAACTTTGCCAAATTTTCTATGCCATAGAAAATCCATTTAGAAATGGGAGAGGCAGTTTTGGAGGCTCTATTTTTGAAGAATGCTAAGAGAGGAACTTCTGTAGTATAAGATTTGAAGCCATACCAGTCAAAGATTGTCCTATGAAATGGAGGATGCTTTTGATTTGGCATCAACTTAAATATTGATCTGTGAGTGATCTGAAGAGCCCAAGTGAAGTAACACTTCACCAGAGCAGGATATATGTGAAAGAGATCTAGGATGTTTGCATGATGCCCTGTTGCATCTTAGTCAGTTTGTAAGCATGGACTATCTTCATTGGTTTTTCATGGATATGCTAACCATTCTTTGTGGTGAATATTGAATCCATAAGGGAATATAAAATCTTATTTTCTAGTTTTATAACTTGTTATTGACTTTCCTGAGAGGTCTTTATGTATTAAAAACTTAACAATGTGTTTACTGTAATGAAGTGAAGATAAATATGGAACTGGGATATAAACACATTTTTTTTATTTATAACAGGAGACACTGGAAGTAAAAAAAACTTCTGAGGAAACAGCTAAAGGGCAATAACTCTTTATTTAGTGTCTACTTCTTAGGTAGTCAGTCAGTTACGTGCCATGCGTGATACACTCTTACACAATTATGTATCTTTCGATACATGACTGACGAGGCAGATTTTTTCCCACAGTAAGTTGCTATTTCTTTCTGTGGTAGACCAGTTGCCATCCAAGGCTATAGAACCCGGTTTGTCCTGCTATTTACCCATAGCTGGAGGGGGTGAGGATTCATACCATTCCCAAGGGTATTAGCATGTAAGTGAATGTAATGGATTTGACTGGAATTTGAACTTGCCTCTCTGATTCTTCAATCCAAGCCACTATCCATTACTCCACTGTTTGATATAGGTCAAACACAGTTCAAGTAATATAGTCTTTCAGATAGCATGGAGTTTTTCTCACTCTTTGACTGGATCTATACCTTTTCACTTTCAATTTGAGAATGGTAACTTTCAAAATGGAACACTAAATTTAAAAAGAGTAACATTTGAATTAAACTAATAGAAAATATAAAAAATAATTCTATATAAGAAAAAGATTAAATCTTCATTATAAATAAAGCATGTTAATTAAAATGTCATATCTTCTATATTTAAAGCTTTTATGATTTTTGCCTTGGATGCCTGCAGTGAAATTTGAGCACATTACCCGTGTCACCATTGCAAGGGCAGCATTTATATAAATTTCTAGGGTCTGGAGCCTATGCTCTTCTCTCATTAGAATTTCTTGGATATCTTCAGCCAATTACCTTTTTACTTTAGCTTTGAAAATTGACCAAACATTCTCAAATGGATTGAGCATGGGTCTTTTCAGTCTATAAAATCATGTCCAGGTGGCAAATCTGCTTGGACAATTTTAAATTGAATTTATGTTAAATGGCATCAATTAGCCCCCAGTTATTCTGGGGTTTTCTTCAATTTTGTTCCACATAAAATCTTTGTGTTCATTTGACACATTTCTGAACCTTTGTCCACTTCTCTTGAGTCTTCTTTTTCACCTTGGTATACCCATCTGTAAGCAGTTGCCTGAGGGACTTCAATTTGTCAAGCTTTTGATCTCCAATTTCCATCTGATTCATAAACAGCCAGAATTTGAGTTTTCTTTTTTTTTTCATTTTCAGTCTTCTTATTGTATGATCTTGACATAGTGTTGAATTTTAAGAAACACTTTAGTTAGTTAAATATATTTTTCAACCTTTATATATTATTAAAAAAAAAATAGATTACATTTACAAGTTTTGCTTTCAGTTCATACAAATTTAAATTCATAAAATTTTGGGTAAAGTATTTCATTATATTTGAAGATCCTTAGGTAAACAAATGTTTTATCAAATTAAATTCAGTTTTTAAAAATAATTATAACTTTGAAATTTAAATATATAAAAAATACAAATTTGATTGGTTAATTTTCCATTTTTTTTACTCAGAATAAATCATTCCATTTTGAAAGTGACTATTCTCAAATTGAAAGTGAAAAGGTATAGCTCCACCTGTAACAGGTATCTCAGGAGTGGTGCTCAGGCTTTCTTGGTGGACTGCTGTTTCAAATTTCAAATCTTCCTGATTCACTTACTGATTGGAGTTATCCTCATGAATCTGTGAAACAACCAAATCTTGATCAGGACTTTTAAGTTGGTTGTCTCACTGTCTTTCGGTATCCCAAAATTCAGCTGTTTTCAGGTTGGTTGGAACATCCATTATTTTATTTGACATCATACTACTGCTCCTGAATTAAATTAAATAAAGGGCCTGTTTGAATCTTCACCATTCCACACAGCCATTTTGGTCTGGCATATAAGTTTTTTGCTAACACTGAATTACCTTCTTGGAATTCACAGATCGAATCTGGTTTTATATAGAATCACTAAGTTCAAAACAGTTTATATTCTTCTGTTCATCAGTAATTCAGTAAATGCCTGTAACTGTTTGTGGAGTCAAATTGTAGGACAGCAAGAATTGACTCAATTTTCTTTATTCCTTTCTTGAAGATGCACACATATCTTTCAGCTGACCCATTAGATGATGGGAGTTTAGGAGATGTTGTAGCATGTTTTATACCATGTCTTGATATAAAATCCTGAAATTCTTCATTGACAAAAGAAGCAGTATTGTCTGAAAACCATTGTATCTGGAATCCCTTCTGTTGAAAAACATCTTTGTAGACTTTCAGTGGTTGGGATTGCACTGGCCGAATGAGTGATATAGACATCTATCCATTTACATATATTTATATGCTTTGACAATCACAAGGAACATACATCATTTGAATGGACCAGCATAGTCAATGAGCAATCTAGAGCATTCTTTCTCTGGAATATCCTATGTAAAGGATCTGTTGTAGAACTGTGTATTTGGCATTCACAACAGTTCATCACTGAATTCAATATCCTTCTGTTGTTTATATCCTTGTAGAGGTACAGTAATCCTCCCCCCACCTCCACAAAAATGCAATTTTCTAACATTTCATATTTCATATGTTTAAAGTGATAAAACACACACACACATGATTATTTCCATTGCTTTTTCATCTTTAATGTAATTTAAAAGCATCTGGTTGTAACCAAATAAGAGTATTGTTGTGGTTTAAATAAGGCTTATTATATATGTTATGATGATTGTAAAAATAATTTCATTTTAAATATACTATGTTTTATATATATATATATATATATATATATATATATATATATATATATATATATATATATATATATATATATATATATATGATTTTACTCATTCTTTGAAACAAAGGTTGTAAATAAACTGTAAACTTTTCTGAATTTTGTAGACATAATTTAACTGATGATGTTCGCTCATCTTTGTATGAAGCTTGCAAGGAGTGGATGAAAGCTTTAGAGGGCCAACCTTTTATGGGAGGAGAAAAACCAAACTTGGCTGATTTGGTAAATATGTGCTTATATTTTTTAATAACATTTATTAATTAATGTCAATTATTTTAACTTTTTATTATTTATTTTTTTACTTCTAGTGTAATTTTAATGCGGAAAATAAGTATATATAAGAATTACATTAAGATGATAAATTGAATATACAATTTTATCTCCTTTACAAAATCAGAAAACTATTCCATTTATATTATTATAAAGTTATAAACTGTTCATAAAGAACTAATAACAATTCAGTATTAACTTTAATATGTTTTAAAAGAGATGGAAATAATCAGAAATATGTCACAGCAAATAATTTTAGCCTTTGATCCTTGAAAATCTGTTTTGAATATCAAATATTTAATGCATGTTTGTGATTTTAGTTTATACTACCTAAGTAGATAATACTTGTCATTTATTTATGTGGACTAAAACATTATCCTTGATACCTCTGTTAGTCTATCACTTACGTAGCTTCCCCTCATTGTGCTGATTTAAAAAAAAAGAAAAAAAGATGGCTTATTATTGCTTTAAACTGCAGAGAGCTGGGAAATGTCACAAAGAAGACTGAAAAGTAGTTTTTACTGAGCTAAATACAATTGTGTCAGCCTTGGACTTCAAACACTCTTAGCCCAAAAGATTCCATTATCTGACTCCTAACTGTTTTCACTGTATAGGATAAGACTAAGCTTGACCATTTATGCCCAACATGCCTTGCTCTCAATTTAGTCCTACCTACTACTGTTGGTGAATATATAAGAAATTTAGGAGATAAAGGATTTATTTCACTTTTATTCATTTAATAGGAGTAGATCAGGTCATTTATCACCCATCTAGTTCTCCTTCTACATCTGTTGAACAGGAGGTCTATCCTTTGTTTCCTGTTTAGGGCATGGTTTTCCAGTTCCTTTCTACCATGGCCTTTATGATTTTAATAGCCTTAACTTTTTTTTTGATCTGACTGATCAATGGCTGCAACTTTTCATTTTGAACACATTAGGTTGGCATTTTTCTGATTGCTACATCCTGACTGGTAGCAAGGAGTCCAAACTCTTTGGTAGAGGCTGCTCAGGCCAGCAGTCGCGTAATATCAGGTTATTTGCAGTGACATGTTGAACATGGATAGGTGCCCCTGTGTGTACTTCTGATGGGCAACCCCGAGGCCACATTATGCTTTCTTGTTTACCACCTTCCAGACCATTTGTATTGCTTTAGAAGACTGACAGTGACAATTATTTTGGTTTTTCCACCTTAAAATTATTCACATGACAGTTAACATTAAAAGTAATGAAAGTAAACCAGTAAACAAATGATCACCTAAGTCCCTAAACATTTTTTTCACAATATTCATGGTATTCATACCAATTTCTGTGTTTGGTGATTTTGATGCTCATCATGTCAAGTGACTTAATCACACTAATGATCCTTGCTACTGATGTTGCGGGTATTCAGGATTTCAATTTTTCAGTTGCTCAGTCTCTCAGTCAAATAGTGGATTTCCCTACTTGTTTCCCTAATAATTCTAATCAACATGCTTCTTTACTTGATTTGTTCGTTACCACCTCTCCTGACTCTTGTCAAGCATCACAACACTTTCCTCATGGCAATTCAGATCATGTTGTAGTACTTGTTGATACTTCTTTTGACTCATCTATTAATCATGAACTTCCAATTCACAAGACTTCTTTCTGTTACCAATGTACTGATTGGGATTCATTTCATAATTTTCTTCATGATAACCCTTAGAGTGAAATCTTTAAATCTTCCTTTCAAAAATTGGACCTCTGAGGTTTCTTCAAGCATGAAAGCCAGCATCAATGCTTTTGTGCCAACTCAAAAATGCCAGGAGAAACCCCAATCTTCTTGGTTTACACCAGCCAATTCAGCTCACAGATAGCTCACAGAAATCACTTTTTCCAGATATACCAATGTGATAACTCCGATCACAACAGGATCCTCTTTGTATCTGTGTATAACAATGTCCTCAATGAGGCTAAGTCTTTGTTCAAACTGTATAGCCTTTTAAAAGTCTGGTTCTTGTGACTACAGGCAGCTCAGTAATAGTGTATTAAATAAGAGTAAATCCTCAATCCCTCCTCTTTTCACTCAATCTGAAATGTTATCATCATCTATTGATAAAGCTGAATGCCTTGCTTCCAAATCTTCCACTTCTATTGACTTATCTGGAACATCTTTGCCTGACTTTCCAGTTAGAACTTCCCAATGTCATAAGTTCTTTTGTTAGCTATGCTGATGATATAACTATTTAGTCTATTTATGGTAAGTCTGATAGCTTTAATAAAGTTAAATTGATAACTGATCTCAAAAGTAACCTTTACTCTGTTGATTTTTTTGTTTCAAATCTTTTTCATTGGTTGCACCCACACATATATCATCTTGATATATTTTTTATGCCCCCTTAAGAACGTTTTCTATTTCTTTCTGAAAGACGGCACTTGCTTTTTCTACCCCATAAGTCATATGAGTCCATCAAAGCAGTCCAATTGGGTAGTTAATAGTGGTGATTTCCTTAAATGTATCAATTTGGATTTGATGGTATGTGCTTTTTAGATCAATTTTCATAAAGCATTTCATTCCTTCTAATTGTTAAGTTGTTAAATAGCTCAAATGTATACTTATATCCAGCACAAGCATTGAACTGATAGCCTTCAGCTAATGTAAACTTCTGTTTTAATAAGTTTAACTGTTATACCTTCAGTTGAAATGGGTTCTGTCCATTGAGTTCTATATAAACTTATGGTTTTTCCATTGGGCTTATATAAATCCATATACTTTTAGTTTTATATTTTAATCCAAACCCCAGGAGGCCATCCCCACAGGCTGTACCTCTCCCTTGGGAGGGGGGCTGAGTTTAGTGCCCATCTCCCGAGGCATCCACGAAAGGGGAAATGCTTTCCACAGTACTTCCAATAAACCCACCTTAAACTAACCTTGTGTCATATCTGTTGTTTGGTAGGAGCACCGGTAAATATCTATAAAATTCATTTGCCTTTGGCTGGAAATTATATTCTTCTAATCCAGGGGGCTTTCCACCGAAGCAGTATCTCTCTCATAGGAGGGAGTTGGGTTTATTGAGGCATTCCCACCCAAAAGGAGAAGTGCTGAGGGGGCTTGGAAATTTTTCAACAGTATTGCCTTTAAACCACGATGTTATGTCACATCCTGTTGTAACGTAAACATGCTGGTTTATACTTATAAATCTATTTGCCTTTGGCTGGAATTTATATTCTCCTAATATATATGGAATTTATATTCTCCAAAGCCTAAAGGGGGCTCCCCCCCCCCAGTATTACCTCTCCCTTGGGAGGAAGCTGTGTTTATTGCCCAGCACCTGAGGTATCCCCCAAATGGAGAAGTGCTGAGGGGGCTTGGGCAATTTTTGCATGATTTGGTCATTAAACATACTTTAAACATCAACCCTGTCACATTCGGTTGCAATGTGGGCACCCTGGTAAATACCTATAAATCTATTTGCCTTGGTGAAGTTATATCAGATTAGGTCAACACTAATGTATGTAATATATTTTCAATGTTTCAGATAGGATAAGAATCTGAACCAATCTTATGCTTTAAGCCTACTTTATAGTCACCACATCTAATATCCCCATTTGGCTTTCTCAGAACTACTATAGATGATGTCCATTTATTTCCACCTGGGGGAGCATGTTCCAAAATACCTTTTTCAGACATTTTATGTAATTTCACAACTTCCAGGGGTAATAAGGGAATCAGAAGTCTGCAAGATTTGAAATATGAGGAAGTTAGTATTTTCTTTCAATTTAATACTTGCTTTATAATCTTTTGACATTCCATTTACATTTTAGTGTTTTCTTTATCATGTATGTGGCTATAATTTCAGGTTGATTCTTTTCCTTATTGGATTTTTCAATCAACTCTTCCTGTTGTATAACGACATTTAGTTTAATTACAAATGTTCTAACATTTAAAATCTATGAAAAGTATTGCACATACATTCTATCAGTCTTAGTTGAATTAATTACTCTTTAATAGACATTTCTTGTCCTAAACGTTGAAATTCACAATATCTGCCGGCATCTTGTAGCCAGTGCAGAACTTTCATAATAGGTTCCTTGTATTCTTGTTTTAATGACAAGAACTTGGTTCATTCAGCAATAACCAACCTTCTCTATGGTTGAATATTCCTTAGAATAATCTCTTTGGTTTGGTTAAATGTCAATTCTTCCACTTCTGTTAGATAAATCATCATTGAAATATTTTTAATAGCTTCACAACTGGCTGTTGCCAGAATTAAATCTGTTATTTCATTTTCACCTCCATTTATTTTGCTGTCCCATAGTTTCTTTTTCTAGCAAGGGTTGCAATGCACATTATCCAAGTTTCAACAAAGTCTGGGTCTTCTGCATGCAACAAAGATCCTACTAGGATTTTTGTCTCCTCTTTTATGTTTATCATGAGAATTTAAGTGTTTAAAATTTATGAATGTTAAACACATTTTCAATAAAAATAAAAGTATTAACTCAAATTATCAAAAGAATAATTACTTCAATGACTAACTACTTTGTATTCTAATCAAAATTTATTCAAAATTTTAATGTAGTAGATTGCATTAAATTAAAGAATAACATTTTGAAAAATCATTTTTATTTCAGTCTGCCTATGGTGTTCTCAGTTCAATTGAAGGATGCAATGCATTCAAAGACTTGTTGGAGCATACCAAAATTGGTTCCTGGTACTACCAAGTGAAAAAAGCTGTCCAAACACATCAGGGAGCCCAAATATCTATTTGACATTTGAAGATATATATAATGGCAGCATTTTTCTTGTTTTTGTGTTCACAATAAATTTGCAAGCTGAACAGAATTATTTACATAATCCTTTTTCTGATCTCGTATAAGTACTAATATTAATAATAAGTGGTAGGTAGTAGTGTTGTATAATGTTGAAGTTACAACTCTTTATCTGAATAATTTTTAAAGCAAGCTTTGATAGCCTTTGAACTGAAAAATGTCAAATGATAATTTACAATGCTCTAATGCATGAGGGTAACTCAAAAATTATCCACACTTTTCCTATAACATATCTTTAGGTGTGTCACACTGTCTTCTGGCCATGTGTGCTCATAGTTGATACTATTGTAGTCACATGATTGAAGTTTGAGCTTGATCACATTGATATTCTTGCTACTGTTATAGTGTAAGTTCTGACTTTCAAAACACCAAACAATTTAAAATCTCAACCACTTTATTAGCTTTTCCACTTGTTAGGCACAATGGATTCCTAAATAGCATTTATGCACAGAAACTTACAGATGCAAACATTTACTTATCCAAAATTTGAAAATTATAAGAAAGTGTGATAATGCATTTATTTGTAATACTGAAAACACTTTTAGTATCTTCTACTCGGTGCATACTTAACATTTCATTTTTGCTTCAGGCTAAGATATTGAAACAGTATTAGACAACAAACTTTCCCAGGATGGATAACCACTAAACTTCCATTTACAAATACTGCAGCTGAAGGAAAAGTCAGTGAATGAGAAATTGCAACTGTAGCAAAAATTAGACAATTCTTGATGCAAGTACGTCTACTTTTCAGTTTTAATATTCAAATTAAATTTCATGAGAACATGAAATGAAAGTGAGCATGAGTAGTAAGGATTAATAATGGTTAGGATTTTGTCATTTGAAATCATCTATAATTACAGCCAAAATCATTGTGTCACAGTGATTACAGAAATGAATGACATAGACTGAGACTCTGGCATAAACATTGGTTTCAGCTAAATCAAAAGTCTCTTTGTGTCAATTTTTTTGATAGGTCAAAATTATTTTATTTTCCAGCATTGCTTTCTTTTTCATTTTTTTTTATAATGGAAGTTTTGCATGAAATTTTCAGTCATAAATTAGCAGGCTTTGTTCTTGCAAATTTCCAATGGTTTTTGGCCAGGTTCAGTCTTTTCTTCTTCCTCCTCTTTTTATTTAAGTGTTGCCTTCTCGAGGGAAGTATAGAAAGAGAAGTTTGAGAGAAAGAGATAAGGATTTTAAAAGAAAGCACAAATTTTAGTTTGAATTCTTTTTATTTTGGTTTCTATATTTTTCTACAGAATAACTATTTGTCATGGGTACAAAGTGTAATTCCAAGAAGCCAAAAAGAGTTATGACTCTCAAAGAAAAAGTTGAATTACTTTACAGAGCACAATTTTCATTATCACATCAGCGAATCAACTGTGCTTTATATCCAGAAGAAAGAAGAGCAGGTCGAGAATTATGTTATAATAAGAAAAAAGGCTAAATTCTTATATACCTGTTTTAAGCAAGAAAAAAGTGATGAACGAACAGACATGAATTCTATGGACTTTCAGACCAGCAAAGGTGGGTTTGATCAATTTAGGATGACAAATGTCAAAATAATGGAAAAGGCAGCATTCGCAGACCAAGAATTTCATAAAATTCTTCAGAAAATAATTGAGGAGAATGGTTATTTTCCAGAACAGATGGTCAACACCAATGAAACAGCACTGTTTTACCTCAAAGGGCTTACATCACACAAGAAGAGAAAACATCAGGCTAAGATGGAAAAAAATTAGGGTGATAATGCTGTTGTTTGCAACTGCAGCTGAATATGTTAAAGGCAGCCTTAATTTAAATAGCTACTAATCCTTGTTGTTGTCAGTGTACTGGATGTTCAACAAGAAGGCAACGACAACTAAACCTGTTTTTCTGTAGTGGTTTCATCAGTGCATTGGGCGCAAGATACATAAGTATTTTATAAAAGAGAACCATCCCTTCAAAATTTTGTTGATATTAGATGTCCCTGATCATCCAGGGGTTAGTGACAACACCACCAAAGGTGTTGAGTTGATCTTTATTCCTCCAAATATTATGTCCCTCATTCATCCTCTTATAATTTAAAGCCTGCTACGCCTGGCTCTTAATGGAGAGAATTGTGCAGGTCATGGACAAGGATCATAATGAAAATGTGGAAAAATTTTAACATTCCAGATGAAATATGATTGGAAAATTTATCCAATAAATGCCAGAATCTGTGAAACTTGTGCTGGCAAAAGCTATAGCTTGAATGTGTTAAATATAACTTATCTAAAGCTTTATTCAACTTAAAATGGAGTGTGTCCAACTGAACTTATTTAAATACAGAATATGTATAAGGGGAGATAATCCATACTACATTCTCCTCTGCTGGTTATTTGTAGGGGACAAGGTCATTCAACTTAGTCTCCTTCAGGTTCTTTGAGGACCTCACAGTGGTTCAAATTTGACAGCTGCCTCTGACATTGATTCTTCTAAGTTTGTCTCAAGTTTGTGTTACCAACCCAGCTTTGAAGTATAAACTTTTAACTTGAAGTGTTTTCGTATTCTTCAATTTGTATGCCACTCTGTGTCTGAATTTCAATTAGCAATGTCCGTTTCAGAGTGGACTCATTTTTTAGGAGGTAATTTCTTGCTAGAAATAAAGTCATGTTGGTCCATTTGTTCTGGTAACAATGGGAGGTTTACTCCTGCAGAGACCAAATCCTCCAATGACACAGTATCTCGTCTCCTGGCTAAGTGATGGACGAAGGCATAATGCAGTTAAATGTGGTGTACCAGGTTGTAGTGAGGTTTCTTGTGAAGTTCTATGTTGGAATGGTAGGAACCTTTTGTGTGGTGTTGCATTTGTTGCAGTGCGCAACAAGGTTCGAATAGCATTCAGAGATTCTAGAAGGAAGTTTTTCCTAGTGAGCAATCAGGCACTTTCAATTCACAGCAACCAACTGAATAGTTCTCCCAATAATGCCTTTGTATTTTTCACACTACCCATTGCCTTGGGGATTATATAGCATAGTCTGACTTACAGCCCGTGGAGAAATTGCCCAAGTTGTTCCGACATGAACAATGTTCCTCGGTCTGAATACATATATGTGGGGTCCTCAAAAAGGATGAACAAGAAGTGCAGACATTTTATTACTGAGGAGTTTTTGGATGTATCTGGGTAAGGATATACAAACAGGAATCATGAATATTCATTATTTATAGTAAGCAGGTATCTGGTTCTGGTTTTCAATTCTAGGCAACCTTTGAAGTTTTAGCCTTTCGAATGGTTGAGTGGCTTTTATAAGGAGTTCCAGTGTTGGCCTATAAAATTGTGGCTTATGTTCAGTGCAGATTTGACAGGATATTATAAAGAGTAAGGTAAATTTCCGCTTTGTACTATATGTGTCATTCTAGTTATGCTTGGGTAGCATAGTTCATTATGTAGGGGTTCAGAGATTATTAAAACTTGACATAGTGCTACTAACTCTTGATAATGCATCTACTCCAGCATTTTCTTTATCAGGATGGTATATAACATCGAAGGAGAAACGCGATCTCGATCTTCCATCATGCTATTTTTTCATTTATAATTTTACTTCTTGACTTGGAATTAAACATAAATGCAACTGATTTTTGGTCATTTACAAGTGACAGCTGATTAGGTAATGCCTCCATTTTTTTAATGTCTCTACAATGACATAGGCTTCTTTTTTGGTAGCTGAGTGTCACTATTCAGACTGTGACAGATTCCTTGAAAAATAGCAACAGGGTGACCATTTTGCCTCAGTAACATACTATCAAATATGTCTGTCTCCACAACTAGTTGAGTTGCAGAGTCTATAATGACTATTGCAGCAATTGTGGACATATCTTTTTTGAAAAATCCACTGTGAGTAATGCATAAACATGCCCATAGCTTGCTGAAGTGCTCACATTTTTTCAGCAACTGGTAGCTTGAACAGAGGGTTTAATTGCTTAGCATCTGGCTTCATAATATTCCTTTCACTCACAATGTACCTTAATATTAAAGGTTCTCACCCCAAAGAAATATTTGTCATCATTTAATGTAAGGTTGCATTTGTTAACAGCCACCATGAATCGTTTAAAGTTGCAATCATGGTCTGACGGGTTTAGTCCACAGACTTTCATTATCTATGTAGACAAATGTGTCCTTCAATTTTTCTGTGCTTATTGTCAACGATTCTTTGACAATTTTACACGCTGTTAGTCATCCCAAATGGAATCCATCAGAAATGACACAAATGGCCATTCACCTTGAATACTTTATGGGATCGATCCGTTGGCTTGATTTCTATTTGGTGGTATGTGCTCTGGAGGTCCAAAGTACTATAAATGTGATATTTGGCAATTTCACTCACCATCTCATCAACATGATGCAGTGGGTATGCATCCAACTGGGTAATCATCTGCGAGTAGTCTATTACTAATCTCTTTTTGTGGTTCTCAGAAGTTATGAGTACCTGTGCCCTCCATGGAGCCTCACTTAATTCAATAACTCCCTCCCCATGAATTCTTGTTACTTCAATTTTAATAAATTGTTTGTCGTTGTGTGAGTACCATCTAGATTTTATTACCATGGGTTGCAGTCTGGCATTAGGTTGCTAAAAAGTGACAGGTACTGAATGTTGATTGCTGCTAGTTCACATATTTTTAAGTTTGGTTCAGGTCCTCCAAATGGGATTATGATACTAGAACACTGACGTAGGAAGTTGTGCGCTAGTATAATGCTGCAACAATTCTTCATTACTGATAGTTTTGTTCAAATATAAGTATTATTTTTTTAACTGAATCTGACCAGGCAGTACCCAGTTACTTGAGCACACAAAGAAACATTTACCATAGTTATTTTATCAAAGCAAGGAAAAATCCACCACTTATTATCTTTCACTATGTTTGAATCTATGTAACTTGCAGAATTACCTGTGTCAGTAACGGCGTCCACAGGTACATTG